CAAGGCAACGGGTGGTATTTGAAATACACCACTGTGCAGACATTTTAAAATCGAATGTCAAGGCTCACATGAAGGGTATGGTAGAGCTAGGTCATTGCAGATTAGAGAGTACTTGTAGGAGAATTACTTTGAAAAGATTTAACTCCAGTTGCTCTGAATATCTATCCTATCTCCTAAGGGTGGGAGCAGAGAGGTGAGTCCCCTTTATCCCAAGCTAATGGGAGCTTTAATGGGGCCCTTCCAAATGAGGGGGCCAGCCTCTGACACACAGCTAAGAATGAAGAGGTTCTGTCACCGAGAGGCAGTGGAGTAGGGTGGACCTGGGTGCACTGTATGCATCCAGAGACGGCTGGTGGGGAGGGCAGGAGGTGGGTTTATGAGTGCTTCTCATGGACCAGATGCGGACCACATGGGGGAGAGAACTGGGCATTTTCAGTCGTGTCCAAGAGGGCTGCCTAGAGGGGCAACAGGTGTCAACCACATGAATCCGTGTGGTTCCAACTCCTGAAGAAACAAACATGAGGGGATAGCCATCTGGAGAGAAAAGATGCAGCCAGCATCATGTAAAGTGCTGTTGCGTGTTCTTTACAAGAGGCCTGTGAGGTACTCCCAAAAGCACCCAGAAGAGAGAGTGATGCGAGCCTCCGTGATCCCCAGTCGGGCAAGAATTCTCTGCTTCTGAACCTGGAGGGGTCAGAATCCTTCAGCAAGCTGAGGGTTGGAAGATGGTACTGAAGGAAAACAGAAGAAGGAGACCTCAAGGTCTGCAGGCTTCCAAGTTCAGTAGGCTCCAGATTGGGCAGGTTGGGAGAAAATATAATTTAAGTCAAGTTTGGGATTTTTATTATCATATAGGATTAGGTATCTTCGGTTGCTGAGTTGATGCTGTGTTTATGACTCAAAGCAAACCATAACATTTGTTTATTACCTGTGAGTTCACAGAGACCAGTAGACCACTTAAATTTCTCCCCTAGGTAGAGAATGAACTTTTCCCACTGGATATATTTTATTTTATTTTTTTAACTTTTTTTTATTATTAACATATAATGTATTATTCATTTCAGGGGTACAGGCCTGTGATTCATCAGTCTTACACAATATGCAGTGCTCACCTCAACGCATACCCTCCCCAGTGTCCATCACCCAGCCACCCCATCCCTCCCACCCCCACCCACTCCAGCAACACTGGATATATTTTAAAGGACTGGTGGAAGACAAAAATAGGGAAGTTTTCTCATTAGATCTTATGAGTCTTTCCTGTTCCATATACATCTTTTAAAATTATACACAATCATTATTATACTTTACATCCCCTTCTGGAACTTCCTTGATTCAGTTAGGGATGTATGTTAGAGATCTTTCTGTGTCCTGTAACTTCACTGACCAGTGACAAACTAGAATTCCCATCTGGATGTACAATACCTTATTTAACTACTCCCTTATTGATGGGCATTCCCATTATTTTTATTTTTTTCCCATTAAGAAACATTTTTCATGGGCGCCTGGGTGGCTCGGTTGGTTAAGCGACTGCCTTCGGCTCAGGTCATGATCCTGGAGTCCCGGGGTCGAGTCCCACATCGGGCTCCCTGCTCGGCAGGGAGTCTGCTTCTCCCTCTGACCCTCTTCCCTCTCGTGCTCTCTATCTCTCATTCTCTCTCTCTCGAATAAACAAGTAAAATCTTTGAAAAAAAAGAAACATTTTTCACCACCTCTGTGATGTAGAAGAATAGATTCTCTGATGTGCAGATGCTGTTGCAAAGAGATTGACCCCGTGTTGCTTTTGTCTGCCTATCTGCTATTCTCCTTTCTGACAACAGTACCTCATTTTCCTTTGGGGAAGGGGAGATGTAATAAGAATGCATCTCAAATTGTTGTCTTCCACTGTACTTTTTTAAAGCAAATACAAAGTGGGGCCAGCCCTTGGCCCTTCCTGGAGAGGAAACTCTGCGTCCTGCCCCTCTTGTCATGTGATTTGACTAAGTCAATCAGATACACCCTCCTGGGAACTTGATTCTTAAACGAAGTGACACAAAATTGGAAAAGGGTTGGGGATGATTTGTCCTGAAAGAGATCTTATAATGCTGGCCAAATGTAGGGGCACCTGGGTGGCTCAGTCGGTTAAGCATCCAGCTCTTGGTTTCAGCTCAGGTCATGATCCTGGAGTCCTGGGATTGAGTCCCACGGGCTCCCTGCTCAGTGGAGACCCTGCTTCTCCTTCTGCCCCTCACCCCGCTCGTGCTGCCTCTCTCTCTCTCTCTCTCAAATAAATAAATAGAATCTTAAAAACAAAACAAAACAAAAACAAAAAAATGGTGGGGCACCTGGGTGGGTCAGTCAGTTAAGCATCCAGCTCTTGGTTTTGGCTCAGATTATGATCTCCAAGTCCTGGGATCAAGCCCTGCATCAGGCTCCCTGCTTGGCAGGGAGTCTGCTTCTCTCTCTCCCTCCCCCTGCTCTTGCCCTTTCTTTCTCTTTCAAAGAAATAAATAAATAAAATCTTAAAAAAAATTATTACCTAATTTAATCTGAGCGTGTCTCTATTGTTTGTGGATGATATAAAGAATATGCGCATTTAATATTTTGGCAAATATCTCGAGTTGCCCTTCAATCTGAGGTAGCAATTTAAACTTCCACCAACAGTTGGAAGCTTCTGGACCTCATTTTCTTTTTTTTTTTTTTAACTTGCTTTAAGCAGTTCTTTGGTGGTATACACAGAGATTCTTCTTTTATTCAATTTTCCTGATACAATACCACTTTGATTTCCTGGCGGAATGATTCTATTTCTAAATGAGCCAAATGATATTTGCTGCAAAACGTTGGCCAAGAAATAATTCATTTATTTTTGCTAGAATACAACTGGCTTGTATTTAACTTGCCAGAGGTAAAGTTGATGAAATGGCTCAGTGTCAAATTAATTTTATTTATAAGTGCAGTGATTCACAAGGATATGAGCCACAAACTTGGATTCCAAGTGTTCTAAAACTGAGTGTTCTCACATGATTACCTTAGCAACTGTAAACAATGACATAATCATCAAATACCAGCAAAAAGAACAGTCAAGCATGCTACAAAAAGTTCCTCTAATTAACATCATGTTTGCCAATTATTTTATTCTTACTGAAATATATATTAGAAAAACCAGCTGTAGAAGTAGAATAATTTGTGATTTGACTTGAAGGCGTATGAAAAAGAAATCAGATTCTCCAACTGGGCGAATGCCATCATTAAAAGCAATACATGTAGGGTTCATTGCCCCGTGCAAAGAGAAATGTCTGGGTTATTGATGGATGATGGGAACCATACATAAGAATGAGTGATAGTGAAGTCAATCACTAAGAATTGTATGTACCAGGAAGAATATGGAGAAATGGAATCATGCCTACCACCAACTTCTTGAAATATTTCCTGCATCATGAATAAGGGGAAAAAATGTACACATTTGACTTCTATCCCCTTTCCTCATTACAACTACTTTTGTTGAAATTTAAAGAATATAAAATGTCCAGAGGAGAGAGAATTAGAATGTGGGAGCAGGGGCTTTGCCAGATTTTTTATAAGAGCTGGAGATAATTAAATCAATTACCACCATGTGTCGTATAGGATCTTAGAAAGGAAGATTGTTTAAGTAAATAAAGTTGTGTTGTTTTGTTACTAAGATATGTGGAAAAGATTGCCTTTCATGTGCCAAGCACTGCAACCAACAGGCAGAGAAATTGCCAAGGCCTCCAGTGTAGTGGGCCGATGAGGATGGACATTCCATGCTTCTCGTATTTCACAATTAAGAAAGGTGTTTCTGTATGCAACAGTTTAAGGAGTCTTCCTTGTGTTTTGAATTTCTTAAGATTTTTTTTTAACCTAAAGGCATGTATCTAATACTTTTTCCCAGTTAAATGAGAAGACCATATGGTTTTTCTCCTCTGATTTATTAATGTGGTTAGTTATATTTATTCTAATGTTAAACCTCCCCTGAATTCCTGGGGTAGAGCAAATCTGGAGAAGATATATTTTCATTCCTATACTTGGCTGGATTGGATTTGTTCTGCTGATTAGGATTTTTGTATCGATGTTTACAAGTTAGAATGTCTGCAATTTTCTTTCATCATATCATCATTGCCTAGTTTTGGCATTGAGGCTCTTTTCACCTCATAGAATGTTACTAGGGCAGTACTCCCCCATTTCCATCTTCTAGAAGACTGGAATGATCTTTCTTAGAATTTGCTCATAAAATTGGCTGAACCTGCTATATTGTTTTTGGGAAGATATTTACTGATTAAATTTCTTTAAAAACTGTAGGACCATTTAGGCCTTCTCTTTCTTCTTGAGTCAAGTTTAATAAGTTATAATTTTCCAGGAATTTATTTCATAGAAGTTTTCAAATTTATTAATATTACATTTATGAGCAGATCAAATAAGGATGAGCAAACAATTATGATAATCCATAATATTCTCTTTTCTTCTGGGACTTTGATTGGACAGATGCCAGATCTTTCCATTCTTTTTTTAATATCTTTTTCTTTCTTTATCTTTTCCATCTTCTTTTACCTCTGTTTTACAATCTTGGCAATTTCTTCTGACTTGTCGTCCAGTTGCCTAATTTTCTCTTCTGCCATGTCTAATCTACTATTTAGCCATCCACTGAACTTTTATTATTCATGGTAATATTTTCATTTGTAAGTTGTTTTGGCTCTTGTTCAAACTATTATTTATTAAAATTTTATTATTTTTAAAAAGATTTTATTTATTTGTCAGAGAGAGTGAGCACAAGCAGGGGGAGTGGCAGGCAGAGGGAGAAGCAGTCTCCACACTGAGCAAGGAGCCTAATGTGGGACTCGATCCCAGGACCTTGGGATCATGACTTGAGCCAAAGACAGATACTTAACCAGACTGAGTTACCCAGGCACCCCCAAACTATTATTTATTTTTTATTCTATTTTTATTTCTTTAAACATATTATGTATAATCATTTCATATTTTGTTTCTAATAATTCTAATATCTAAAGCACTTGAGAGCCTGAATCTTGTTTCTGCTGATGATTCTCATGGTGTTTGTTTCTTTGAGGGTTTGTGATCTCCTATCTGATTAACCTTAAACTGTGGAAATTGTGAGGGCCTAAAATGGGAATGCTTTCATCTGAAGAGGTTTTGTGTTTGCTTCTGCCAGGGACAGAAGATGTCTGCGACCTAGGACACTCAGGACTCCAGGCTGCTGTTGGTCTTGTGGGTGCTCAGATTCAGTCTCTGCCTTGTGGTAGGCCCAAAGAGTAATCATGGGGCCCCTTAAAAGCCTCTTCCCATCACACATATACCATGTTCTGTTAATTCTACCTCCGGTATCCTGTCTATGAATGCATTTCATGCATCCTCCAGTCCAGCCAGTCTGAACTTCTCAAAGCTCTCCTTTTCCTTCCTCTCGTCACTTGTTCTGGTGAGAAGGTCCTGTTATCACCATTTCCATGGTGATATCTCTCCTTCAAGGTCTGGCTCAAATGCTCACTCTTCTAAGACACCTTTCATTGTTTCCTCAGCTTAGCAAGCTCATGTCTCCTGTGCGTTAAGCATCACACACACACACACACACACACACAGATGCACAGACACACACACAGATGCACACATACACAGGCAGACACACACACAGTCATATCCTTTCCTCAGGAATTAATTGCTTTGTGCTTTGTCTCAGAGTTTCTTTCCTTTTCTTTCCTGCTACTCTGACTTTTTAGGTCAGGTTCTGTTTCATCTTTTTTTTTTCTTTTTTTTAAAGTAGGCTCCACATCTACTTCTCATGACCCTGAGATCAAGATCTGAGTTGAAATTAAGACTCAAACACTTAACCCAGTCACCCCTATATTTCATCTTTGTAGCCAGTCCCCTGGTTTTTTCACTCCAATCCCATCTTTAATAATTCTTCCACATAAAGGTGAAATGTGTTTATAGGATCCTAGGTGTTTTAAAGGGAGCCCAGTGGAGACATCCCTGAGAAGACTGTGGTGGTTGTAACTAGATAATTATACCCAGTGGCTCCCTGAAGGCTTTCTAGGTGGAGGGTTGGACTGGAAGTGGGGTGTATTCAGTGGATGCTTTCAGGGGAGTTAATTCTGAAGGGCTAAAAAGCTAAGGGCTCTCCACTGATGTGTATTTTATATGGAAAATAGAGAAAAAAAAAACCCAGAGATACAATCTTGAATGAGTGATTCAATCTCCGAATGTGTGCATGGAGCCCAGTGGCCACATTCAGGCATCAGAGCAAAGGCAGGAGAGTGAGGGGAGTGGGCAGAGGATCGTGCTTGCTGGAGAGATTCTCCATCCTCATTTGAGGAACCCTGGCAGTCTCTCTTTACAGAGAAGCTGTAATTTGGTGGCTCAGCAGTTTCAAGTTTTCCCTGTGATATTTGAAACTTTGCATATTTTCTTTCTTGCCAACAGTTATAACAAGACATCCTGCTTTTAAAAATGCATTCCAAATGACATTTTCATGTTAGGCTCTGCAAACCAAGCAAACAAGTGCCTGAAGAGAATATCCAGCTTGATTAATTAGCCTTATGTAGGAGTTTGCTAACTATTGCAATATGTAAAGTGGCCCCATTTTGATTGCTACATTTGAACTTCTATTTGACATAATGTTTACTAAACCATGCAGATAAGTCACACATTGAAGTGAATGATACATGATTGGACCTTGTGCAATTTGCCACCAAAATATTATTCTTCTGAAAGATCATTCCAGACACTGTGTCTTACTCACACTTGTGCCTTTGGTATTTATCTTAGTGCTTGACACATAGTAGGTATTCCATGCATGTTTGTTGAAAAATCAAGTAAAGTATTTCAAAATGATTTCTAAAGCCTAGAATGTTCTCTACATTCTTCATGGTTCCATGGGATACCAAAGAGGAATAGGAGTTTGCCATCAAGCCAGGAAAAATAACACATGATTACGAATGATGTGATGCAGACATAAGTGCTAAAGGAATTTTCAGGAGAAAAGTCTTTGAGGGTCTAGTCAGGGAAGGCTTCCAGGAGGAGGTGGCATAAGATTTGAATACATGCCTCAAAAAAACATTTGTTGAAGTGAACTGATTAGGTGAAGGAAAAACGGGTGGGGGCCTCCTAGGTTAAGGGAGGTGCATGAGGGAGTACGGAGGAGGGGTGGTCAACAGGAGCAATGAGGAAAGAAACTGCGTCATTTCCACTCACAGGATGCTATAAGGGGACCCTGCTAAATGCAATGAGGCTGCAAATGGAATCTGTCCTGGATGGGCCTCTGCATAGAATTTATGAGCTACAATATATGTCATATTTTATGAGCTCACAACAAGGATCCTTGACATAAAAGCAAACCAGAAAGTCATAACCTCGCAAAAAAACATGCTCAGGGACACCAGCTACTGGGACACACTGACAAAGGACACCACAGGCAACGGAGGGTAGGATGTCATGTTTGGTGACCCTGTGCGGGAGGCCTGGGCAGGTGGTGTGCCTTTCCCAGCTGCATGGCCTCAGCTGGAACAAAGGGGAGTGAGCTTGGAGTAAAGATTCAAAGAGAAATCACTGGTCAGTGAACCTAGGACTTGGCAGGAAAAAGGGGACATGGCTATAGGATCAACCTGTGGTAGCTAGCCTCCAGGTCGGCCCTCCATGGTCTGTGTCTCCTGGTTTTCACACCTTTGTGAAAGCCCCCTCCCATGCTGAATCAAGGTTGGTCTGAGTCACCGATAGAATATGATGTAAGTGGCGATAGGTGACTTCCAAGATGCGTCATAAGAGGCTGTGCTGCTTCTTCCTTGGACTCCTGCTCTTCTTGCTGCAGGGAATGCCAACCTCATGTTCTGAGGACACTCAGCTCTGTTGGAGGCCCAGATGGAGAGGAACTGAGGCCATCAGCCAACAGCCAGCGCCAACTTGCCAGCGATGCGAGAGAATCCTCTCGAAAGTGGGTGCTCCTGCCCTAGCAAACTGTCAGATGATGGCACCCCGAGCTGACGTTTGGACTGCATCTCATGAGAGACCTCCAGCTAGAACTGCCTAACCAAACTGCTTCCTGCCCCACAGAAGCTGTGAGGGACAATATGTGAGCACCGCTTTAAGTCACTACTATTTGGAATAACTGGAACACAAGCCTTCCGGAAAAAAAAAAAATCTAAACCTGCCATATTCTTGGGCAGTTATTCAGTCAGGGGCCAGAAGAGAAGATTATGTGGAGAGGGTCTCTCTCTCTGTGCCTTTCTGATATGATGGTGTTGGTGAAGGTGATCACTGACATTATGTAAGTACGTGGACTCCTCCTCCCTGGCAGCACCGAGTAGTATTGAATATACCAAACCAGCTGCATGAGATGATTGGAGAAATTATGGTGTCTGCAAATCCCAAGGCACTCAACACCCATCTGTTGAATGAATGAAAGAAACAGCAAACAGGATGTGTGTCACCAATTAATAACAATAATAAAAAAACCCTGAATTTGTTACACAATTACTTGCCACTCATTCCTTCCCCACCTTGGAAACAATAAATGACTATCTTCTTGTGATTACTAGACCCATGGCACCGATCATCCAGAATGGGACCTAGTCTTTTTTCTTTTTTAAGAGAGAGAGAGAAAGAGAGAGAGAGAAGGGGGAGGGGCAAAGGGAGGGAGAGAATCTTAAGTAGGCTCAGCCCAGAGCCCAATGCGGAGGATTGATCTCATGACCCTGAGATCATGACCTGAGCTGAAATCAGTTCAGACAGTCAACCAACTGAGCCACCCAGGTGCCCCAGGAAATCTAGTCCTTCTAAATTGTGCTTGCAGGAGGGTCTCTCAGCCTGAGGATGTCTGCCCACTGGTTCAATGAATCGCTGGTTATGCATGGAGGGCGTTCAATACAGCCAGGATCTGGGTGTGAGTGGAGTGGCGGCAGGGCAGAAGTCCAAGCTTGCACTTCCTTCTTGCAGAGGCTCATTCCAACAAGCTTGTACCACTGAGTACAGAATGTCCTTCAGCCTACATGCACTCAACCAATGTTTGCTGTGCACCTGTGTGAGTCAGGTCAACACGCCAGTTCCTGGGCCACAGGAGGAGCAAACCCAGACATGGTCTCTGCCCTAGTGGAGCTCACAGTCACACTGTGGCGATGCACAATGGAGAAGCACATGGAACAGTGCAAACACGCAGCATCGAGAAGAGCTTACAAAGGGAAGTTATCTGGTGCTTCAAGTGGGCATACAGTGGCGGGGGGGGGTTGCATTTTACCAGCTTGCAGGGGTCAGGAGGACTTTGATATGAGCTGAGTTGTGAAGGATAGGAAGGAAGGCAAAAAATAGGGGAAGCGATCAGCTGGTACAAAAGCCCGGTGGAAGGAGGCTGCACGGTGACTCGGGGACTGAAAGAGGGCTGGTGGCGGTGCGCAGTTATTGTAGCAGGAGAGGGGTGGGGGTGGGGAGGTCTTCCACGGAGAGAAGAGACGGGGAGCCGAAAAAGGCCCTGACCGTGAAGAAGATGGAGGCATTGTGTAGGAGAATCAGAGAAGCCAGGACGGTACTGAGTGTCGGGGGCCAAGGAAGGGTGCATCCAGAAAGAGGAAGAAGACGTGGGGATGATGTGGCTGGGCAGTCATGGGACTATGGCTTAAGCAGGAGCAGAGGACTAAGGTCCCTTCCAGGAATGGAGGTAACCCACGAAATAGCTCAACTACACTTTTCTTTTCAAGGGCATCATATAAATAATTACTAAGTATAGTTCATGAATTATGTTAGAAAAGCACGTGGATTTGAATGGTACAAAATCATAGAAAGTTTCTTCTTGGGTGACACTTTGGTGCAGATTCTGAAGGATGTAAGAAAAATGGGCTTAGTTTGCTTCTCCAGTGTGGCCTGAAAGAATTGGTTATGAAGCTGATGCAAAAAAATGGTGCCTTTTCTAAAGTGTAAATAAAAGAGGCTCTAGTATTAAATGCCCCTCCCCCTGATATTTTGTTGCTGGTAATTCACAGAAGTGTTAGGGGACTGGTCTATAATGCAAAGAGGGCTGAGTTTGCAAAGGGAGTGTCATGAGTTGCCTCCTGATCTGACACTTAATAACTGTATTCACATGGACTGGGCACATAACCTCAGTTTGTACCTCTGTAAAATGGGCATAATAGTGTTTTCCTCCTTCATGGTTCATGAAGGTGAACAAGATCATGCTTTGTGAGTTGAAAAGCACCACATACTTACAGTTAAGAGTACCTGAAAAGCCGTATCAGTCACTCACATTTTAGCTAGAAGGAGGTATAAGAACGTCCTGAAAGGCAGATTTGGTGGGGGGAGGGTTTGGTAGAGTGCCCGTGGGTGCTGTGGGCTGGGGTAAGTGGTATGAGGGGGGGGCCACCCAGGAGGAAAGGGGGTGGGGGTCACTGCTGACGATCTCTCTTCTTTATCACTTTCTCCAGGACTGGTCATGCCGGGTAGCACGATACTACCAGGTATGTATTCCTGGGGAGAGAAGGGTCTTGCTGGGCACCAGGATTATGCTGGGCCTTTCTGTGGCTTGTCCGGGAGTAGCCCACTTTGCTGATGGCAAAGCCCCTGTCAGCTGTCAGCTGGCCCATGCCATTTCAGAGGTGACCACAGGTCTGTGCCCCTGGATAAAGGCCAGGTATGCAATAGGAGTTCATTAAAGGCTTGCTGAAGAAATAATTAGTTTCCCCATTTTGAGCACGAGTACCTGCCTAACCGCATGGGGTCTGAGGTGTGTGTGGCTGGTGTGACATGCTCCGTGCTTGGCAGCTCTGTGGTACCTATGGTTCTGCTCTTGACAGGAGGTGGGGCTGGGCCAGGGCAGGCTGGACGGCAGCCAGACGTGTGTTTTGCTAGCATAATGCCTCAGCCAAATTCTCAAACTGCCTACTGTGACTCGGAGACTGGACATTTTGAGCTTATATTCCACCCTGGTTCACTAATGCCTTCTCCCCAAACTAGACTTCTTAATTCCACAGGATTAGAGTGAGTGTACTCTGAGTGAGGTCTGCCTGTGGAAATTACATGCAGGGTTAAAGCCCTCCTTGGGGAAAAAAGAGAATAAAGTAAGAGAAGGAATAGGCAGCATTTAGAACGAAGTCCATAAGCTTCATGGCCGAAATAGCACAGAGCTCCAGACTGTACGTTTTTGTGTGTTTCTGTCTTTGATTGAAAGCTCTTTGAGGCAAGGGGCTGCCTGAGTCTCAGTCCCATTTTATCCCCAGATTCTAACACATTACTTGACGCAAAAACAGCTGTTCAACAAAGGTTATATAAAGGAATAGATTAATGAACGATTTCTCTTGATCTAGCCCAAGTCCTGTGCCCATTGACAAGTGCAAGGTGATAAACTGGGATATCTAGCTGCTTCCATTTGCAGCGTGTTTGTCTAAGAGCCTGGGGCCACCAGACAGAAACTTGGAGTAAGGTCTGTGGGCTTTCCTATCATGGCAATCAAAACATTCGCAATTAGAATCTTTGATGATTCTTGGTGGTGCCTGGGTGGCTCAGTCGTTAAGCGTCTGCCTTCAGCTCAGGTCATGATCCCAGGGTCCTGGGATCGAGCCCCGCATCGGGCTCCCCGCTCTGCAGGAAGCCTGCTTCTCCCTCTCCCACTCCCCCGCTTGTGTTCTCTCTTGCTGTGTATCTCTCTCTGTCAAATAAATAAATAAAATCTTTAAAAAAAAAAGAATCTTTGATGATTCTTAGGCTAGGTTGGGTATCTGACGTCTTAATCCTTTACGTTCCACTAATTTGCAGGATATTTGCACAGAAGAGAACTCCCCTTGGCACCGCTCTGCTGTGGAAACTAGTCAGAACTTCTTCACAGAGGAAGCATGTTTCGGGCAACGATGGATTTACGGATATGTAACCAGCACTTCTCTCCTGCATCTTCCAAACCCTGAGAAGGTGAATGATGTAACACTGAAGTCTTGTGAAATTGTCTGCTAACAAGAATTGCTCACCATTTGGATGATAAAGAGGTGTCTCCAATCCATCTGTACTGGACACGGGGCATGCAAGATATACTTTTATTTGTACTCTCTGCTTGGATCCTGATGCTTTTGCTGAAAATCGAATAGGAGACATCCGGAGTTGTCATGGTGTCATGGAAAAGACGCGCACCTGGAGTCAGATGGGAGGGACTGTCACCCTTACCTGTCACTAGTGTGGGTACACAAGCCACATAAACACTTGGAGCCTTGGTTTTTCTCTCTTAGAGCAGTGCCTCCAAGATTGTTGTGCGAATCAGAGCAAAAGAGATACTGCTCAAGACACATTTGGCAAAGCATTATTTTATTTTACCAGAAACATCTATCAGGTCAATAGTAAAATAGAGGGGAAGAAAACTTTGGAGAGCTTGTATTTTTGAAATGGTCACATCGAGGATAGAAGACTATGATTCTTAGATCAGATTTCTTTGAGGTCTTTTTTTCCCCATTTTTTTGTTTTTTGTTGTCTTGATTTTTTTTTTTCCTGAGGTCTTCTAAATCTCAAGTTTGAAGTTTCCTTTTGGGACTTTAAAAATGAAACATACTCTCAAATTTGTAATCAAATCAGAATCTGGACTTAGAAATGTTAGTCATTTCATTTATATCTTATAGTCCCTGGCTAATTGTACTGATCTAGTTGGAAGCAATTTTGCATTGTTCTTCACTCTGAAATGGCCCCAGAAGAAAGCTGCTCTAATAAGCAACACGCTGGGGAGGCAGGTACTGTGCACGTGCATTTCACGAGGAAGGAAGAAATATGCTGGTCAGGACTCGGTGGTTACGTGGGACGGAAATCCCATTCCGATTTGGCAAAAGGGAATTTTTGTCTCCTAGAGCTTAGGAAGTGCAGGGCTGGAGCTCGAGCCCAGGACTTGTGCACCTGCAGACTCTACCTCCCTGTTCCATTGTTCGTATTTTGGCTTCATTCTCTCTGGGTGGTGGCCCTCAAGGCTGGAGCCAGAGACACAGGCACCTCCTGGCTACTGTGTCAGTTTCCCGTGGCCTGCTGTAGCAACTACTGGTCTGCGGGCTTAAAACCACTGAAATGTATCCTCGCACAGTTCTGGAGGCCAGAAGCCTGACATATAAGTTCCCCTGGGGTCAAGGTGCCCAGGGCTGTGCTCCCCAGAGGGTCTCTAGGGAGAATCTGTTCTTTGCCTCTTCCAGCTTCTGGTGGCTGCCTCCTACCTTGGCTCATGGCTGCATTTCTCCTATCTCTGCCTCTGTGGGCACATTGTCTCAAATCCCCTTCTCCTTCTTGTAAGGATGCATGTGATGGCATTTAAGGCCCACCAGATAATCCAGGATAATCTCTCCATCTCAAAATGCTTAATCATATATGCAACCATAAGGTAACATTCATGGATTCCAGGGATTAGGGCATGGATATCTTTCGAGGGGCCATATCTCAGCCTACCATAGATGCCATCCTTCAACATCTGTGAATGACTGGAGAAAGAAGACTTTTCCAGCAGCTAGGGCTCTGACCCTGCTTGGGCCCCTAGGGCTCCTTGGACCAATTGGAGTGGGGAACAGGGTGGCGCGGAGGGGACAGGTCCCACTGGGGCCACTTGGCTGGAGTGGGGGAAAGGGCTACTATTCCCAAAAGAAGAGCAGGAGATGGGGGGCTGCTGGGCTGACAAAAACCACAGCCGCATTACATGGCTTATGGAGGAAACATCACAATACTAGGGAGCAATGTAAGAAAGAGCATATTTAAACATTAAAATGCTGGCAAACTACAAGAGCTCTGGGAGTACAAAGGACTCTCCGGACGAATGAAGAACAAACCGTCACCGGGAACCAGGAGAGAGTTTTCCCGAAGGGAAGGCTGAAGGAATTACGGGTTCATAGCCCATCACTGGGCAAGAGGCGCCAGCCAGGGTTTAAGGGCAAGGATGTGTTGCTTTGTTTCAGAAAAGACATACTGTGTTTCTCTTTTTCATCGGTCTACAATTCATTCAATAATCGTTTCCTCTCTGCCGAATGACACAAATCTGGTCAAGTTTTGGGGTGTCCCGACGGAGAACTGACTCCGTGTTAGGTTGTGAGCTTGAGCGGGAGCCGCATTGAGCGGAAACCGGCCGGCAGCCCGCAGCACTGGCGCCCCAGCGTGGGCCTGCCTGGCTCAGGTGTCCTTGTCGCCTCCAGGGGCGCTCCCCTCCCGCTTGGAGGGGAGCGAGCCTTCGGAGGGCGAGGGCTGGCCACACACAGGTGGGAGTCCGGTACAGGGAGCCCCTAATCAGGATTCACACCATCGGTCCTGGAGGAAGCAAGGCCAATCAAATCCTCGGGCTGGGACTTCCCGTACTTCAAGACGGATTCCTTTGCGACGAGTTGATGCGCTCCACAGAAATGACAGACAGGAACAGCAGTGTCTAAGGACATCAAACCCCCTCTCCTGGGCGCGCGGGGTGTGGGAAGGCCGGGGTGAGCCGCAGGAAAGACCGCAATGCGCAGAAACAGGTGAAGGGACCTGGCTCCAGTCCCCAACGTTAAAACCAGGAGTATTTACTTAAGGGACCACAGGGCACTCTTGGGCTTGGCAGCGACTGGACGCGATGAGCCATTTCCCGAGCCAGAAAACCAGAGAGGTTAGACAATGGGAGGAACTTCCCAGGCCCCTTCGACCCGCATCGCAATCACCGAATTTTCAGAACCACCAAACGGGGTTCCGGGGCGCTCGAGCTCGCGGAGTCCTGACGCGGCACCCAGTGCCCCTCCCGCCCGGGCCCGCCGCCCCGCCGCCCCGCCGCCCCGCCGCCCCGCCACCGGAAGGGGGCGCCCGCTCGCGGCTAAAAGGCGCGGCTGGCGGCCCGAGGCCTCAGTACACAGCGCGGCGGCGGGTGCGCGGGCAGAACCATCAGCGCGGGGCCAGGACGCCGCGGGCACGGCGCAGAGCGCGCACACCCACACGGACGGCGGGGACCCGACGGCGGCGCCTCCGCGCTCCCCGACTCCCTCCCAGGGCCCACCCGCCAGCCGGCCCACCCAGCCCGCCGCGCACCCGGGGCTCCCGATGGCGCCCGAGACCGGGGCGGCCCCGCGCGCGCGGTGCCCGCTGCCCTGGGCGGCGTTGCTGCTCCTGGCCGCGCTGCTGCCCGTCGTGTCCCCGGCGGGGGCTCCAGGTACGCGCAGTCCCGGGCTCAGCTGCCCGGCTCTCCGCGCCTCCTCGCTGCTTCTCTCTCCACCCTCCATGCATCACCCACCCTGCCTGTCGCTCCGGGGACCGCCGTCCCGCTCTGTGCTGTGCGTGTCGTGTCACTAACCTGTGCGTCCTCATCGCTCGCGGGTCGGGGCGCGGAGGGGCGGCTGGGGACGCGGGATCTGGGCACTCGGCGCCTCGCGCACGGGAGACGGGCGCGGGACACCACTGGTGCCGGGGACCTCAGCGCCCTTGGTTTCAACTTTGCCGTCGAACGCCCCGGAGTCCGGAGACTCGAGCAATCAGTCTAACTTCCCGGAGAGATTCAGGCAAAGGAAAAACAAAACAAAACAAAACAAAACAAAACAAAACAAAACAAAGAAAAAAGAAAAGCGACCCTTTGGTGTTGCGGTGGAGGTGGGGGTGATGTTTTCCTTTGCCCAGAATATCCCCGTGGGCATCCTTCTTTCCTTCAGTTCACCTGCCCGGAGGTAGGGATGTCTGTTGGAGGGTGGCACTCGGGAGAGCAGCAGGGAGGCAGGGAGGCAGGACTCTTCTAGAAGCGCACGGGGGAAAGCTGCGAGCTGCCCGGGGGCGGCCGGGTACCTCAGCGCCCAAGCATCAGCGGCGCTCGGACGGAGGCCAGAACCTCCCCGGCGGGAACTTAGGAGCTGGGAGAAGATCCTGGTCTTGAGGGGAGGGAGCGGGAAAGTGGGAGAAGCTCGCCCTTTCCGGAAGAGACCGAGGGCTGGCGATGGGATAGATGCTTTCTTTCGGGGCTGAATTGTGAGCCGCGCTTTTCGGAAAATGCCAGGGTGCCGGTGTCAGATTTTTTTTGAAGGTTTCCCGCAGAGAGTTAAAGTTTGTGGTGGGTTTTCATCCCTAAGGCTTTGGTGGCCCTCCGTCCCAGCTCCTGTGCAGGCATTTTCACACTTGAAACGGTGTGGCTTTTTCAGTTTGTAGGAATCCAAGAAGTCCACATTTTTGTGGATACTATTCACTCCCAGCTGGGTTATAAAAATTCAGATGTGATTCCAAGGAAGGCTACTTGCTTTATGATGCTATTTAGTGTCCCTATTGCCCTCTTAGAAAGGGGAAACGAGGGACAGTTGGGGAGTCACGTTGCCTTGCAGTTCTTTTTGGTGGGTACCTCTGCATCAGGTTGATGCCACATGGTGGGAAGCCAGCAGTAACTTCTTCATAAAAAAGGCAGTACCAGTGGGAGATTTTGTTTTCCTCTGTTAGCAATCTCTAGGAAATCATTCACTGAATATTTGGTGTAGTAGTTAACAAGAATAAAACGATTTTAAAGCCTTTCAACTTCCCTACCTACAACCCATGGCTTCCCCCGCACCCCCAAAATTAAATTTTCTGAATGTTGAAAGGGTTTTTGTTTCAGAAAATGGGCTGGAACTGGAGATAATGCTAAACTGGCTTCGTGATGATTCCAGCTTCATTCCTGGTGGATTCCCCTGCCACCTGCCCAGTGGGGTACATTTGCGCGTGCTTGGATTCAGGGCTCTTTGTGGCAGTTCCCGAAATGCTGCCATGGTCCTTGCTATTCCTTCTCTTGCCTTCTGCTCTGTAAATCCACTGAGCTGTGGAATGTGGGAGCTGGAATGCTTGCTGGCACTTCTCTCGACTGTGTTGACGTGGGATTTGCAGGAAAATGATGATCAGACTAGAAATGGACCAGCACATTTCGAAATGAACATCTACTGCATTTAAATGAAATTAATAGAAGGAAAGCAACAGATATGTCCTGCAGATAGCTCCCCGGTGCTGTGAAAGAGATCATGGGGCACATAATTTATTTCATCTGCTCCTCTGGAAGGCTTCCTGTCTGTCCTGCCGTACGCAGCTACAGTCACTGCTCCGGACTTGGATTCTGGGTCTGGCAGCAAGGCC